CACACACACACACACACACACACACATGTATATGTGTGTGTGTATATATATATATTTCAAAGAGGAAAGGAGAGAGAGAGAGAGAGAGAGAGAGAGACATCAATAATAATGAGAGAGAACCACTGATAGGCTGCCTCCTGCATGCCCCGCACTGGGGATCAAGCCCGAAACCCAGGCATGTGCCCTGACTGGGAATCGAACCATGACCTCCTGGTTCCTAGGTTGATGCTCAACCACTGAGCCACACCGGCCGGGCAGCCCTGGTCAACTTTTTGACAAGGGATAGGAACTGAAATGACTTATACATTAGGAAATTCCTTTGCAAACCTTGTCAAGTCAACAAGGTCCGTGATGTGATCAGGTTTATTCTAGAGGCGGCCTGCCGAGCAGATAAAGCCACACACCCTTACCAGGAGGTACTGCGAGGTAGGCCTGGTTGTGAGTGCCATGTAGCTCAGTCCTGCAGGGTGAGCGTAGTGACAAAAGAGACCACATGTCCCTTGTGTACTGGTGATGGTGGCTTTGCTGCTGGGTAGTCCCCATTCTGTCACGCTCTGCTTGCACGGTGGGCCCCCAGCTGGCCGTTTCATCTCACGAACTCGTGGCACCCTTCGTGCCCCATTTCACAGCGGGAAGGCCGGGCGGAGAGGTCTCGCAGATATGAACGTGGGTCTCCTTGACTTCAGAGCCCGTGCTTTCTCCTGTGTGTCTCATTCATAGAGCATCCAGGAGTCACTCGCGTTCATTTGGTCTGGGTTGCAATGCTAAGCACAGGTGGTCAATGCAGTGTGGAATCGTGTCGAATTTCACTGCAATGAAGATGTCTCAAAGGTCACACAGGAGTGCCGTGAACTCTTGGCTTCGTCCACGGGCTTGTCCCCGGCGAGTGGCTGCATTCCTGACAACACCTAGCCCGGCAACCAGCCAGACAAGTGTATGTGTGTGTCTCTCTCTCTCTCTCTTCCTCTCTTCCTCCCTCCTTCTCTCCCTGTGTGTTTTCCTATCCTCATTCTGCATTTAGTGAAGAGTAGGGAGAAGGAAATGAGCCAGAAAATAGAAAATTAATACTTGGTAGAGTCGTCATATTTTAAAATTAATTTATAGGCAATGTCAGATAATCAGAGTTAAATCATTTTATCAGCAGGCTGGTGTAGGATTTAAAAATTGACATCCATCAGTGTAAATCAGTCCCAGGAGCCCCAGGGAATGGTCTCCGGGGACGAGGGCTGATACAGGGGTGGGCACAAGTGTAAATACTTGATTAGCTGTGTTCTTTTCTTTCCCACAAAACCTAAGCCATTTCTCCATCCCAGTGAGCGGTAATGATGGTATGTTACATAGTAACGGGAGGGAAGAACTGCTATTCAGATCTGTGGCTAGCCTACTTTAAATACTTGTCTTCCTCCCTGGCAATCCCTAGGAAACTTGGGTGAGAGGCACTCATTTCGGGTGCACTCCTGGCTCCTGGCTCCTTCTGTACAGACACACACAGGACCCCATGTCCCCCAGCTGTCCAGGTGTCACAGCTCTGCCATGTGCCTGCAAACAGGAGGGCCCACAGGTGTGCTACATGTATACCAGGGAGGCCTGGCCGGATTCAAGACCCGCCTTTCTCCTCTTGTCCTTGCAGCTCTTTGTCGAGGGCGCGTGGTGAGAGTCCCCGCCGGGAGCCTGGTGCGGGTGGTGGGCACCGAGCTGGTCATCCCCTGCAATGTCAGCGATTACGACGGCCCCAGCGAGCAGAACTTCGACTGGAGCTTCTCGTCTTCGGGGGGCAGCTTCGTGGAGCTCGCCAGCACCTGGGAGGTGGGCTTCGGGGCCCAGCTGTACCGGGAGCGCCTGCAGAGGGGCGAGATCCTTCTGAGGCGCACCGCCAATGACGCCGTGGAGCTCCACATCAAGGACGTCCAGCCCTCCGACCAAGGCCACTACAAGTGTTCCACCCCCAGCACGGACGCCACCGTCCAGGGCAACTATGAGGATACAGTGCAGGTGAAAGGTACATCCTCAAGGGGGGTCGCCACGCCAGCGGCCAGACTTTCCCCTGCCACTTGGCCGTGGGTCACTTTGTCAAGAAATGTAACACCCCCGGGGCCCTGCTTCCTCCTCTAATGAGTAAGAGCATCTTATCTGATTAAAGGCAGGGGATGGGCCCGGTGGCCCCCAAGGTTCTTTCTCTTTGCTGTGATTCTGGGCCATCCCCTGGCTCAGGGGTCCTCAAACTACGGCCCGCGGGCCACATGCAAATACAAATATTGTATTTGTTCCCGTTTTGTTTTTTTACTTCAAAATAAGATATGTGCAGTGTGCATAGGAATTTGTTCATAGATTTTCTTTTAACTATAGTCCGGCCCTCCAACGGTCTGAGGGACAGTGAACTGGCCCCCTGTTTAAAAAGTTTGAGGACCCCTGCCCTGGCTGGTGAGTTGGAGGCAGGAGGGCCAGGTGGTAGGGAGCCCAGCTCTGAGCCAGGTTGCCTGCACCCCATGAGTCACTTACTGGCTCTACCACTTGTCGGCTGTGTGGCATGGGCACGTTGACCAGCTCCCTCCTCTGTCCCAGTGCCTTTCTCGAAGGCGGTGAGGACAGGGAGATGGCACGTGTAAAGCCGCAGTAGGCATTCAGTGAAGGTTGGCGATGAGAAGCTGACGGCCGTGATGATAATGTTTGGCCTGATGGGAAAAACAGATACTTCAAAGCTCATGTCCTCCTGTGTGCCCGGAAGCACCTGTTAGTTCTTGAAGTTGTATGGGTCATATGTAGAGAAAGAGCGATGTGGTCACTGCTCACTTAATGATGGGCACGGCGAGCTGATTGGCCTGGCTGTGCAGGTCATCACACCTTGTATATTGGCAATGTTTTTTGTTTTTTTACATGATGCTTATTCTTCTTTTTTTTTTTTAATGTTTTTATTGATTTCAGAGAGAGGAAGGGAGAGGGAAAGAGAGATAGAAACATCAATGATGAGAGAGAATCATTAATTGGCTGCCTACTGGAGATGGAGCCTGCAACCCAGGAATTGAACCATGTCTTCCTGGTTCATGGGTCAGTGCTCAATCACTGAGCCTCATTGGCAATGTTTTTGTTTGTTTGTTTTTCCCATTTTCCAAATCCTGTTAGATTTACTCACATTCAGTTCTCTGAATTCAACGAAGAAGGTAGGACAGGATATTGCCTGAATTTACACATGAGGAAATGGGAGAGCAGAGGTTAATCGCTTTCTTAAAATCCCACAGCTAATTAGTAAATGAGCAAGAACAAACAATTTTAATTTGGGGCTAGCCAAATAGAAACATTATTGTTGTTATTTTTATTACTTAATTATGCACTTATTTGAACCCTGCCTTGTTCCAGAAAGAGTTGATATCAGGGTAGGAGTGTACTTAACAATCAAGAAAGTGGAAGATGCTACATGTTGACATAACAAGAGGGCTTGATTCCCGCAGTAATGATTTGTAGAACCCTACCATATCTCAGAAACTGTTCCCCCATTTGACTCACGAGGGGATAAAACAGCCCTGTCCATGATGAAGGTATTAAAACATCAAATCTACCTCTTCCTTTTTCCTGTGGAAAATCCTAAAGATGTTTTTTAGAAAAAATGTCCCGTAAGGCATCCTTGCTTTGCAGCTAACGAATGCGTTGCTTTTGTAGTCAGCACGCACATGCGACACCTCCATTAGGTCAGATGCACCCTTGCTTCCCCTCGCCATTGAAAGCAGAGGGATGGCCCACGACAGAGGCTGGTTGGCTGCCCAGGGGGAGCCCCTGGCACCTGCCATATGTGGTCCAGAATCGGCCTGGCCGTCAGCCTCGTGGGTTTGAAAGTTGTTCATCTGTGTTAGGGAAAACTGGGGACTGAGTCACGTTAGCCGGAATCACAGACGGGTGTATATACTAGAAGGTCATTACATTTATTTTGTAGTAGGGATGGGTCTTTCTAAATATATAATTTTATCCTGTTTTCCTGAGTAGCCCTTCTCAAAGCCAGCAAGTTAGTTTCTGAGTGTGAAATGGTGGGAAAAACCAGAGATGATGAATCGTGGTGTGCGAGCATTCTCTCATCCAGCTCATAGACAGGCCTCGGGGATTGTCCCTGCCCCTGGGAAGAGGCCCCCCTCTCTGGTTCCCTCCCTCTCGCTTCCCTTCCAAAACGGCACTGACTGAACTTCCTTGATCCCCGGCCATCTTTTTCTAGACTCTGTAGACGAGCCCAGCCCCTTTCCCGATGGGTTGGCCCGAAGAGCGCACGCAGAGAGTTGAGGTGTCTGTTTGCCTCGACCGGTTCCCCACCTGCGGAACTCTGCTCGCTCTGCTCACTCGCAGGCAGTGCCCAGGCCCAGGCCCAGGCCCAGGCAGCTCAGCCTCCCTCTGGGGATCATGCTGCTTGGAGTCTCGGGAGATCCTTTGCGCTCCACACTCTAGCCCTGGGTCCTAACAAAGGAGTGTGACAGCTGACAGCCGTGGCCAGTGGTTGCACCATGATTGCCTAGGGCCAGTGCTGTCCAGGGCACTTTCCCTTCAGCTTCCTGAGACACGTCCACTTGTCATCCCTCTTCAGAGATGAGGAAACTAAGGCACAGAGGGGGTAAAGGGTAGTTTAAGGGAAGCAGAAGCAGGTCCCCAAGGCCTAACTCCCAAAAGGGAGTTTTCACCACCACCCCCAGTTCTACCAGGGGGTCTTACGAGGCCCTCTTTTATTTTCATTTTCAAGTGAGGAAGTCAATTAAGATGACAGGTGAATGACAATGGGAAAACGCGCCCATCGGGGCATTAGCACAGGGAACGGGAGGAGGAGGTTGTCCTTGGTCAGCCTGGCTTGTGGCTCAAGGCCAGAGAGGTGGCTGGTGCTTGCTGGGGCGGGGGCTTGGGTGCTCTGCTGACGGTCTGTCCCTCCCACCTCCAGTGCTGGCCGACGCCCTGCACGTGACCGCCAGCCCGCTGTCCTCCCCGGGC